GCTTAAGGCAAAACAATCCCCACACAAAACATTATGCAACACAACACAAAATGGGGCTAACGACAGAATGTTCATAAATGATTTAATTTCAAGGTGGTCCAGTGACACTAAGCTATTTCGTATATTTGCATACATACTAAGATATTTGCACAATTGTAAAAACAAAAATAACAAAATTACAGGTGCAATTTCATGTCAGGAACAAAGGCAAGCTGCTAATAAATTAATAATATTTACACAAATAGAATCATTTCCTAATGAATACAAACTACTTAAAAATAATTTACAATTGCCTAAAACCTCAAAACTTTTGAGTCTTAAACCATTTATGGACAATGATCTTATAAGGGTGGGAGGTCGTCTTAGTCAATCACACTACGAATTTGACAAAAAAACACCCCATCATACTACACAGCAATCACACATTAACTAAGCTAATTCTGAGAAACGAGCACGTCCGCCTCATGCATGCAGGACCCCAGCTGCTGCTGTCTAGCATGAAGGAGCAGCACTGGCCTACCAAAGGTAAGCTTTTAGCAAATAACATTTATAGAGAATACCTACCTTGCGTACCTTGCTTCAGAGCCAAGCCACAGGCAATAACGCCTATGATGGGCGACCTACCAGGTCACAGAGTACAACCAGCACCACCATTTTACACTGTGGCACTAGATTATGCGGGTCCATTTCTATTTCAAGACAGGCAGGGCGTGGTTACAAAACTTACAAGTCTTAAATAGCCATTTTTAGATGTTCTTCAACGAAGGCCGTACATATTGAGCTTGTTACAGGTCTAGAAACTCATAGCTTCATGTCGGCGTTTAAAAGGTTCATAGCCAGACGCGGGAAGCCACGAGTGGTGGTGAGCGACAACGGCACCACCTTCCGGGGTGCCGATAGGGAGTTAAGGGAGTTATACAATTTTCTTAACACGAGCTCTAACGAATTGACAACCTCGTGTACCGAGCAAGGTATTGTATGGAAGTTTGTACCTAGTTACTCACCTCACATGAATGGTTTGGCAGAGGGCGCTGTTAAAAGTTGCAAATATCATCTAAAGCGTGTCCTGAAACAAAGTTTACTTACCTATGAAGGTTTTTCAATAGTATTAATTCAGATAGAGAGAATCCTTAACAGCAGACCTTTATGTCCTATTCCCTTTTCTGATTCAGAAGTATTCCAAGTCCTTACACCAGCTCACTTCCTGATAGGAAGAACTCCAGTGGCATTACCGGATTATCGATATGACGAAGTCCCTACCAACAGACTTAAATACTTTTAACAACTCCAACAGATCTATCAATCCTTCTGGAGGAGCTTCTCAAGAGACTACGTGGGGCTACTCCAACAACGAGGCAAGTGGCAGAGCTCCAAGGGACCCACTCTGAAAGCGGGCTCCGTAGTTCTCATCAAGGACAAGCACACTGCACCATGCCAGTGGAGACTGGCGAGGATCATCGAGACACCCCCAGGTGGCGACGGAGTGACTCGCGTGGCCACACTGAAGACATCCCAGGGCTCCAGCATCAAGCTTTCGTTCCCGAAAATTTGTCCTCTACCAATACAAGATAATCATTAACTTACTTATTTAACTACATTTAGTATTAACCTTTCTTGTAACCAAGTAATGTATCTTATGTATCAATTTAAATAACCTAAGGTATCTTTAGTGTCACACTATTATATTATATTATTTTTGCCTGTAACTTAGATTCATATTTCATAATATGTAATACTTATTTCAAACAAATGTATCTTAAATTCATACGTTATAATTATGTAGTACTTAACTGTATTGCATTAAGTAGTACATCCCAATATTTATTTGTGAAACTACAATAAATGTTTATGTTGTGTGAGTTTCATTGAAAAATCATCAGAGTAGGTGGACAGGTACATAGCTTATTTGAAACAAATTAATAATACACAAGTTATTTTAGACTTAATTTATTGTAACCTAATTAAACTTATTAGTAGAAATATTTAACTATTTCAAGGGGGGAGCATGTTGTAAACCAAATATATTATAAACACTATTGGCGCCATCTACCCTTACCATTTGTAAAGCGCCATCTATGGCTCCTCTTTACTTTCATAAACTACTTACCTAACTGGAACAAACAGTTCACATAGAGAACCATAGATGGCGCTACATCCGTGCTGCTTACTTTAGCGATACGGAAAGGCGGCCATTACATTACATTATCACATTACAATTAAAAAGGTTGTTACAAAGGTGCGCGAGAGCAAATACACTTACCAAACCAAAACAGTCTCCAGTGTTTCCTTCATAACAAAGTACCAAACAGTAACTTTATTTGCCAGTATCATGCTACATGCTCATGTAAGATGTAGGCTTAGCGTCATGTAACAAATCATCAGTCCTGTAATGGCATTATATTGCCGATAATTTATGCATACTCTTATGCCACCTTCCTTTTTGGGTAACATAACAACGGGTGCTGCCTAAGGTGAGGTAAAGGTTCTATAATATCATTATTAAGCATTTTGGCAATCTCTTTTCGCAAAACATTTTTTTTAGAAGTGAGAGCCGATATGGGGAGACACAAATTGGATTGTGGTCACCAGTGTCAATTGAGTGCTCAAAACCATTTACAGGTTGCCGTTTGTTGTAAACACGAATACATTGCGAATTAGTAGGGCATCGAGCATGGTGGTGCAGCATGGTGGATGACCGACTGCGAAAACAGGTGATGGATACACGAGTGTTCAGGGGTGCTGACCTGGGAACGGATCATTATCTAGTAATTACTAGATTTAGGGGTTTGTTCGCGGGTTGGCGCTACCGGACGGCAGTAACAGAACCACAGTCGGTCTGTCGCATCCGAAGCTGGAAGCTTCAGGAAGCGGATACTAGGGACAGATATCACACGAGGGTAGCCGAAAAGCTTGACACCATCGATGGCAGGAAAGAATGTGTGGAGAGAACAAGGCAGAACCTTAGGGATGGAATGGTAAGTGCAGCGGAAGAAGTATGTGGTACGACAAAAAGAGGTAGTAGTAAAAGAAGAGATGCATGGTGGAATGATGAAGTGAGAGAAGCTGTAAAAAAGAAGAAAAAAGCATGTTTAGACTACTTGGCCTCTAGTAACGATGAGCATATGAGAGAGAAGATGAAAGAAAGATATAAGCTGCAGAAAGTTCATGCGAAAACATTGATTGAGGAAGTACGTGAAAGGTGTAGAATAGAAGCGGACGAGAGGTTGTCGCACAACTTTAGGGAAAACTCCAAACTCTTCTGGAAAGAGGTTGGAGGGTCCCGGAGTGGTGCGACAGCCTTAAGAATGAACAAAGTGCTTTCGAGAACCAATGACGTCCTCTCAGAAAAATTGGACGTCATGCAGCGATGGAGTGAATTTTATAGAGAAATGTATGCGTGTCATGATCTTAGTGAAGGATCCGGGGGTGACGCCGTGACTGGCACACCAGACACGGACCTCAATGACACTGAGGTCATCAGCATGAAAGAGATTGAACGTGCGATTCGAAGTTTGAAATGTGGTAAGGCTGCGGGACTAGACAGAGTTACTGCTGAAATGGTCAAGTACGGTGGGTCTCGCGTCTGGGACAGCTTCCATCTGCTGTGCAATTTGTGCTGGCGGACGGGAGATGTCCCGGATGATTGGCGATCCGCGGTCATTGTGCCTTTATATAAAGGTAAAGGTTCACATTTTGACTGCGGGTGCTATCGGGCGATCAGCTTGACCAGTTTAGCAAGTAAAGTTTACTCGAAGGTTTTGACACGTAGGATGCAAGAGAAATCGGAAAGATTCTTATGGGAGGCACAATGCGGATTTAGACCTGGAAGAGGATGCACGGATCAAATGTTTTCTCTCCGCAAGATCACGGAGAAGCTTCTGAGTGTTAACCAGAGGATTTTCTGTGCTTTTGTGGATCTGGAGAAAGCATTTGATAAGGTTATAAGGAAGAAAATGTGGGAACTGTTGCCGGGATATGGTGTGGATGGTCGATTGTTAAGGGCTGTGCAGTCACTTTACTATGACTAAAGCCTGTGTGCGGGTAGGGCATGACCTGTCACCCATGTTTAGCGTCCAAGCGGGCGTAAAACAGGGTTGTGTCATGTCTTCCTGGCTGTTCATACTGTATCTCGACAGCTGTTTACAGAAGCTGAAAAATAGCTGTTTGGGTGTAAAATTGGGTGACATAAAAGTTAATTGTCTGCTGTATGCTGATGATGCAGTGCTTATTGCACCATCAGAAGCAGAACTGCAGGCATTAGTCACGTGTATGAAAGAGGAATGTGAAATTAAAGGTCTCCGTTTGAATGCTAATAAAACTTAGGTTCTGGTATTTGAAAAGGACGAAGAGAGAACGAAATGTGAAATATGGGTAAATCAGGAATGTCTAGAACAGGTAAATGAAATTGTATACTTGGGGAGTGCTTTCAGCCGAGATGGAACATGTGATTTAGATGTGGATAGGCGTGTCGCTGCCGGAAACAATGTCAATGGTGCCCTGAATGCATTAGTAAAAAGGCAAGACGTGGTGAAGGGTGCACGCCTTGCAATACATAACGCAGTGTTGGTACCGACTTTGTTATATGGCAGCGAAACCTGGGTATGCCAGAAGAAGCATAAAAGCAAGTTGAATGCAGTGGAGATGCGATCTCTTCGTAAAATGTGCGGCGTTACCATAGCCGACCGAAAGCGAAACGAAGAGATTCGCAATATGGCAGGATTGAAATGTGACCTTATCACAAAAATTGATAGGGGCATACTACGATGGTTTGGGCACGTTGAGCGAATGAGTGAAGACCGAATGGTGAAGAAAATATATAGCGCTAAAGTAAATATTAAAAGGTCTGTATGACCATGTGACCAAATTACGCGAAGAGGGGAAGGTCAAGAGTACTCGGATACCTAGACGTGCATGTATGAAGAAGATAACGAACCTGAAAGAAGCGAAAGAGGTATGTAAGGATCGTGACACTTGGCGATCTGTTCTCTCTGGCTACCCCGTTAGGGATTGTGCGTGAAGATAAGAAGAAGAAGAAGATCGAGCATGGATGCATCCACTGAGAAGATTCCTGTATCTGGGAAAAGATCTGATTCAAAACCATTTTGATCGTACTCCATCAGACCATTTTTGGCATCTGCGTACAGTGAATCTATTACAGGTGAGTAACCATCAAACAGTTGAGTGCACTGTTTCTTTGGAGGTGGAGAAGAGATGTCAATAGGCCTCAATTTATAAGGTGTTATAAATCCTACCTCAGTTGCACTACTCTCTGGCAAGTTAGGCAATGAATTTATGTCCACTCTCACTGGTGAAAGCTTAACATCTTTCTCGAAACTGACGAAACTTTCCCCATAAGATTCATATTCTTGGTGAGAGTCCTTCACAAGAGTAAGTAGCTTGAGGCAAATTTAAAACCAACAGGGAGTCTTGTATGAATCCTACACCCAGAAGAGTTCAGACATTGCACGAATCGGGCAATACTAGCATTGTTGTCGGTATGGTACGGCCATTAAATTTAATAGGCGCAGTTGCAACCAGTACTGCTTGGTTCTTTTTTATTCTATCCGCTAAAGGGATGTTGACAAAGGCCTCTATGAACCGATAACCTTCCTTTTTGAGCTTACAGTATGTCATATGAAGCCACGCTGGATGTCACACAAGAATCTATGTAGGCCACAGTTGACATACCTTCCACCTCAATAAAAACCACTGACCGGCCTCTGGCATCAATTGAATCATCAACGGCACTAACAGCGGTATGCTCTTTACGTGGTGGCTGGTTCTTTTTCTGATTGCACGTTGGGCAAATAGTAGGAACAACACCAGGAGCTATACATCCATAACAACTGAAGTTTGGTGAACTTGGTGACGGAGCTTGTGTATTTGCCTCCTTGGAGAAGCTCATCTTTGAATGATCAGTAGTGGAAGCATTTACCTTTGAAGAGTTCTGGGCTTTATTCTCTGCAAATATCCTTTTCCTGCAGTTTTCGACTACGTGTCCCATATTTTTGCAGAACTTGCATTTCTTTTTTTTATGCGTGGATATGGTTGTTTGGTTATAAGTTGTTTCAGATACTTCTTTTTCACGCAGTAGATGTTCGACAGCACGAGCATTTTTAGTAAGTCCTCAATATTCTTAATATTCGAGCGTGGTATCTTATCTCTGATATCTATCCTAAGCAAACCATAAATAATATCTAGTTGCTGCTTTTCCGGGCGTGCGGGGTCTAGGAGTTGTTAGAAAAGAAGGCGCTTACTACGCACAAATTGTTCAGTTGTAACAACAAAATTTTGTTTTTCCTGAGTAATATCTAAATAGATTAGGTAAGCTTGTCAATCTTCCTCTTGTCAAGTCTTCCTCCCAAATTTTGTCGTGTAGCTGTGTCGCTCTAGATGCTTATCGTCCACCAGATCGTAATCACTCACCTCACTCAACAAACGCCATGCCGGGAAGTCCTTTGCATAGCTGTTGTTGTTCGTCTAGCCTTCCAGTTGGGCGTCAATTGTAATGAGGCAAGAGAGCAGCCCGGACGACGGGTAATAATAAACGGAGATACGAAAACTAGCTTTTTATGTAAAAAACGTTAAACTTTACAGTAATATTAACTGTGCTTCGCTCCTACAGACAGCTTACAACATTAAGTACCACGAGATAAGTGTAAGGTTTGCCACCTCCGTAGGAGCGTTGTTCCTTAACGTTCAAATGTACTGTTCCAGCATTGTGGAAGTGGAAGCAGCTATTTTGCGGTTTAGTAATCCCTAGTGAAGCTATATTAAACAGAAGCAGGCTTCGGAAGCTATATGGCAAATAGAAGTACATCTTGTGGCGTGATTTATCTACGCACAGCGTCATCTAGTTTGGTTTGTGGAAGTTAATGATGTAATGTCAGTACATATTTTATCAGACAGTTCCCGAAAGAGGTTTTGCTCTAGTGTGTATTTTCATATGCTTTTGGCAATCGCTTTTTCTAATACATCTATAGTTACAGATATGACACGAATAAGGTTTTTCTCCAGTATGTTTTTTCATATGTGCTTGCAAACAACTTTTTAATATACATTTATATTCACAGATATTACACGAAAAAAGGTTTTTCTCCGGTATGTATTTTCATATGTATTTGCAAATTACTTTTTTGAATAAATTTATATTCACAGATATCACACGAAAAAGGTTTTTCTCCGGTATGTATTTTCATATGATTATGCAAATCACTTTTTTTAATACATTTATATTTACAGATATTACACGAAAAAGGTTTTTCTCCGGTATGTGTTTTCATATGCATTTGCAAACTACTTTTTTGATTAAATTTATATTTACAGATATCACACGAAAATGGTTTTTCTCCTGTATGTATTTTCATATGCCTATGCAAATCACCTTTTCTAATACACTTATATTCACAGATATTACACGAAAAAGGTTTTTCTCCCGTATGTATTTTCATATGCCTATGCAAATCACCTTTTCTAATACACTTATATTCACAGATATTACACGAAAACTGTTTTTCTCCGGTGTGTATTTCCATATGCCCTAGCAAATCACATTTTCTAATACTTTTGTATCGACAAATATTACAACAGTACTTTTGTTTAACGACGTGCGCTTCAAGATGTGCCAAAATGCAGCGTTTTTGAGATGTTTTAAATTCACAAATATCACAATTAAATATTTCAGTTAGTTGTGGTACTGAAGTTTGTTCGACTTGTGTCTGAATTGCAGAGGTATTAGAGTTCTTTTGCATCTTATGACTGCATGAAATGTGTTTGACAAGAATGTCTTTTGTTGGAAAAAATTTACTACAAACATCACATTCAAATATGTATTTTGTTGATGCCCTAGATGTTTTTTTCGTTAATATATTTACAATCTTTTGTTCCAAAATTTTCATTTTCATAATCTTTGCAGGATGGTTCTCTTTTTTAATAACTGGTTGACAATATTTTTTCTGATTAAGCTTTGATTTAATAGTTGGGCTTTCAAAATCGAGGGTTTCTTTATGTACATCGTTTATGTTATTATCAGTAGGATTAGATTTAATAATTTTCTCAGATAGTTCTGAAAAATTATTTGTCGGTGTATTATATTGTTCTGAAATACAAAGGAATAAAATATTTTATTTATTGTAACACATTGCATCTTTATGGCATATTTATGGTGTATAAACGGTTTACAATGGGTAGAGTTAACCCAAGGAGAAATAAAGAAATTGTAATATTTTACATAATTATACTAAATAATGTTGCTAGATATTAAGTATTTTAGCCAATAACTCTGAAAAATGTCTCTCATGTTCATTTTTGGAGGGAAATAATTTTTTTGACCATGTTACAAATACAGTGCCGGATTAAGCAATCGGGGCCCATCATAGCAAATCATATCAAGGGGCCCTTGATCTGCTATAGATTTTTAAGTATATAGTGGTAAAAAACAATTAAAAACACAAAAGTTCATTTGGGATCTATAGGTTACAAATTTTGTTGGTGTTTAATAGTACAGTAGGTTAGTATAGCCCCCCCCCCCCCCCCGAACGGGGCGCCCCCCGGACGGGACCCACATGGCTGGCCCGAGGTGAAAGGCCGGCCTAAGATGGACACTCCTAGTGGGCTTGGCGAGCCCACTTCGGATGTGTGCTGGTGGGCTGCGGCCAGAAGGGTGTCCTCTCCCCCTACCACTGCAGCCGAGGTGGAGTCGTGGAGGAAGAGGAGAGTTGGCATGGCGATGCTAAGTCAGTAGATGTAGAGTACTGATCAGTAGTATGAGAATCGAGTCATTCGGCGTGTTAGGCGTAGAAATTTTTGCGTTTACTGTATGAAATTATGTGCTTCATTTTCGCCAGCGAAATAATCGGTTACCGATTGTCATTTGCAACGTTTAACGTTTATTTGACATCAAGTAAATTGAATATACTTTTTTTTCTTGTAAAGTTTTACTTATAAAAGTACGCTTTGGCGATGAAGAGATGCTTGGACACGCGGGGCTCCCTTTTGCGCGGGGCCCGTAACAATTGCTACTCTTGCTGCGTTGTTAATCCGGCACTGTACAAATACATTAATCTAATAATCGCTATTTCTAATTTCTAAAGAACTAGTGTTATACCATACATTTCGACATGTATGTTTTGTAGATAGTAAGTATATATAGTCGAAGTTGTCGTGTTGATGCGGCGTGTTAGAATTCATCATCACATACGGCTTCCGACAGATGCCGATACAACCATGTTGTTTAGTTCAGGTTTAAATTATCCAGACCGGCGACAGTTAGCAGCGTCGAAGGTGCTCACGTCTGGTACTGCGATCGTCAATCCTATGCTGCTGAGCATGGATACACTTCAGAATTTTATCAATGTCCAGTAGTAGAAGTTTAGGGGCCTACTACCTCAGAGGCTAGGAGTTTGCCGTAAAATTTCACAGTACGAGAGCAAGCCACCAGGTTTGTTCTCCACCGTCACCGATTAAATTGTTAATTTTGTAAGGATGACAAACGACCACACATTTCACTTGATAGTAAAAGAATGCTGTGGCCCGTAGACATCCTATATCTATGCGTTTAAAATCAAAATGTAGGTTTGTTGTACGAAACACAACAGCATCCAGCTGCAATTTCACGCTGGTATTTACGAGAGCGTGGTCCTGTGGTCCTGTTTTATCTTTTATTACCCTGTGTTACTACTGGGGAATACAGTTTCTGCATGAAACAAGATAATTTTATGGCCTACAAATGATCATTGTGATTCTAATGTTTGCTCATGTGTAATTAAAGTACAAAATTTTATTTGTACAATACATCTCCGATTTGTATTTTATATCACAGGTTATTTTTACATAAATTCTTTTACCTATTTCATCAGCATCTTTTCTATAACTTCTGCCCTTCTTTTTTAATTTTAAAGTCTTAGATTTCTCTTTTCTCTCTGAACCAAATGCAATTAGTGGTACGTCATTCTCTGAATCCATATGTCTAAATCCAAAAGCATCAATCTCCAAGTCTTCTGCTTTTTCAGCAGTCTCTAGAATGAAACAGATTCTGACTCAATATATAAATAAAAACTGATATAATTACAAGCGACCAGATTATTACAGTCCATCACACAGCTTATGGGCCTGAGCTACGCACTTTCGCAACCATACTGCATGTTTCATAGCATATGTGTAATAAGCTGATGTGGCAATGGGCTAGCCATATAGCTCGAAGAACTTACAACCAGTGGGGAAGAAAGGTTCTCAAGTGGCAGCCTCGTACCGGTAAGTCAGCCCTCCACTAGATACGAGTGACAACCTGGTAAGACATGCAGGAAATCGATGCAGGTGGCCCATGGTTTGTGGCATTTTTTGGGAGAGGTCTATTTTCAGCAGTGGACTTGTGAAGGGCTGTAATGATGATAATGATTCATTCACCTTATTTAGTGAGTGTTCTGCCACAAAACTCACTAAATCGCTAGCCATCTGAGCTACCACGGCTCAGATGGTTAGCGCTCGCTGTAAATTTCACAATACGCGAGCAAACCGGGTTCGATCCCTGCCGGCACCAATGAAATTGTTAATTGCAATTTTAAGTGCTGATTTACCACGTGCTCGGCGGTGAAGGAAAACATCGTGAGGAAACCTGCATGTCTGAGAAATAAGAAAAAAAATATTTCGAAGACATGTGAAGTTCGCCAACACGCATTGGGGCAGCGTGGCGGACTATTCCTTGCCCTAAAACCCTATCAGAAATGAGAGGAGGCCTGTGCCCAGCAGTGGGACGTATATAGGCTGTAACTTTACTTTTACTTACTTTACTGCCACAACTTGTTTTCAGTAGGTAAGTGCTTACCAGTAGAAGGATGCCTTGAGTATCTTTTCTGCATATTTTTTAGTACGAAGTGACAAACAAACTAACAGTCAACCTTATGGTATGCTCAATCAATAGTTGAGATATTACAACTAACAAAAAATAAAATAACTCATAAACT